GTGGCTGAAGTGGAAGTCTGTGGTGTTGTGCACACCTGCTTCTGGGGAGACTGTGCTCTCCCTGGGTCTGTGTGAGGCTCTGCATGCAGCCGTGGCGTGTGATGGGGCGGCATGGCCTGCTGCATCCCTGGGAGGAGTCATCCCAGTGCCTCCTGGACACTCGGCTCCATGCAGTGAACGCCTTCAGTGAGGAGTTTGCTTTTTAAATTAGTGTAATTTGTGACTTACCAGAAGATGTAACTTCTGTGCTGGTTGTGTGATGGTTTCTTTTATGGATGAATGGTTTCTACTTCTGCAAGGAAGGCCCCGGTCCCTCCTGCCCCCGTGGGTGCACACTGTGCAGGCCCTGCAGTGGGGCCGTGGAACGCTGGGGGTTAAGTTGTTTCTCTCACCTGGAGGCTGCTTTGTCCTTAGGCGGTTGGTGTTAGACAAATGACATGCTGTCTAGAGAGAAGGGTATTTAAATTACATTGCAAGACTCTGGGTTGCCAAAAGGAAGCCCTCTGGGGAATCTTATATATTTGACATGCATTTGCAGTGTGTAATTGGAACCATGAGAAAGGTTTTTGTTCAAAGCTATTGAAGAGTTTCCTTATTTTAAACCTATTGAATCTAGAAAGAGTGGTTAGATTTTGAACTTTTTCTCTGATAATGACTTCTTATAAGTTTGGGTTAATGACTGTTTCTATTCCATATACCACCACGTCCCCCCTGGCTTTGTGGGAGCTTGTTTGGGTGCCCCGCGTGGCTGCTGAGGTTGGTCTGTCTCTTACACACAAGAGGCTGGAGGGTGCCCGGAGTCTGGTGGCCACAGCGACCCTGCCCAGCCCCCTGCACCCTGAGGTCGCTGCTCTTGGTGCCACCTTGGGATGAATCGGAGCTGACAGGACCACATTTTCAATTTTCTTGTTAAAGAAATCCACTGTCTGACTTTTTCTCCTCTGAACTGTTTTACTTTCTGCAAATCAGATTCCCCTTCCAGCGATCATGAGGGGAATGTCCCCACCGTCTTCTCTGTGGGCCCTTGTTGGTTGCTGGCAGCCACTTCTTTACCTGCACTGGAAGGTGAGCCGCTGATGTCTGTTGCCGGTGTTAGGGAGGACTCATCAGAGGCTTCTGAGCAGAATGACAGATTCAAGACTTCGAAGACATCTGCGCCAAGGACTTGGGTGGAGCTTGGCTAGGTGTCCACACGGGTGGGTGCTGCTGGTGGGAGGCCCCTCAAGGCCCGGGCAGCATGGGCCTCTACTTCTCTGACCTGTTTCTGCGGGAGGACAGAGTCCAGTACCTGCATGTCATCAGACACGGCACGTGGGCGTGTGGGTGCTGGGGATAAAGTCAGGGTGTGTGTGTGTGGGGGGGGCAGTCACTGTGGCCTGCGTTCCCCACTGGTCTGCTATCCCTGTCCTGTAGGGCTGAGCCTGAGTGCCAGCACTCAGAGACTGACCTTTCCCCACTCCTGGAGACAGTGGGCCAGGTGGACCAAGTTTGGACCTGCTAACTAGGCTGGCGATTTGCCCAACAATGTTGGTCAGACCGTGACATGGTCTAGGTGCAAGCTGTGGTGGAGGCCCATTAGTGGGATACTGACTGACCTCACTGGCCAACAAAGTGACGCTTTGGAGAACCATCCCACTCTCACTTGGGGTCAGACCTGGGGGTGTGATGGGAGTGACCTCAAGGTCGAGCAGACCTGGGGTGGGTGTTGTGTCCATGTGGAGGTGGGCTTCTTGCAGGTGGCACTGAGCAGTCCTGAAGTCAATATCCACAGCACTGGCCACTGTCACTCCTAGTTGTCTGTCTTGAAATTGATTTTGTCCAGTGGACCGGTAAATTGGGACTCAGCAGTTAGCATCCAGATTCCCCCCAGGCTATAGAATTGCTGAACGGCCTTACCCAGAGCTGTCTGGGTGGCTGAGCTACAGTGACGGTCTTAGGGACCCTGGTGTGGCAGTCATACTGCCTTTATGTGGTGCTTTCCTCCTGAAGGTGCCACAGCCTATTAGTTTTGACGTCCGTTGGACCGCGAACGGGCTGTCCTGTTAGCGTGGAAAGTGAACGTGAATGACACTAGAAAACTAGGAGTAGTTCCAGGTGACCTGTAATTTTTCCAGGCAGAACCACTGAAGACCCATTTTAAACATTACAGAGTTGGTTTAGTTCAAGATAGTAATTTAAAAATCACTAATTGGATTTAACTGCTTTATCTACAGCAGCTGTGATAGTGCTCTCTCGTTTGCTTTGGCACTTGTACATGCTCCGTGAGTCTTAACTGTAATCTTCATTAGACATTCATGAGGACTGATGGGTGTTCTTTCAGAAAACCGAGCTTAGTTTCTGGTGTGCTGAGATGGAGGCAGAGCCTGCTCAGCAAAGTTTGCCTGGCATGGAGAAGGCTCCAGGGTCTTTGCAGGGGGGACAGGCAGCACTCCAGTGTGGCCTAGAGAGATGCAAGGCATGGGGGTGCTGGGACCTCTTGAGAGGGAGCCCCGGGAGCCACTTGGGCAGCCTGCTGTGCTCTGAAGTGAGGAGAGAGGGTGGTGGTGTGGCAGTGATGGGGAGGGGCTGGGCAAGAATGGGGTGAGGTGTGGCTGCTGTGGGCAGGGTGGGCCTCGGCTCGACGGGGATGTGAGGAGGGGCGGCTGTGGGATGACCACCATGCCCTGAGCTGTGCCCCCAGAAAATGGTGTGTGTGGCCTCTGACTGAGGTGGGACACGCGGGGGAGAGAGGCCCAGTTTTCTGCCGTTGTGGCATTTGAGGGGCACGTCCCATGGCTGTCCTATTGCCGCTCGCTTGAGGAAATGAGAACTCGGCAGGAGGGTGGGCTCCAGGTTTGGGGTCCTTGGCGTGCTCGGTGTTGGTGCCCGGGCACCCTGTGCTCCATGGGACAGCTAGTGCAGGTGCCCTTGATTCGTCCCATCTTCTCTCCTGGCTGAGAGGGGTGTAAATGCTAACACCATGTGTTTGAGCTTTTTGTTTGTTAATTTATTTTGGAGTATACTTACGTAATTTTAAGTAAATTTTTGTTAATCAAACATCCTTAGATGCAGAAAGGCAGAGGGGAAATTTGTGTTTGATATTCACAGTCCTACTGTTGTTTCTTTTGATTTTTTGCCCAAGGCTATTTCTAGGTCCCTTTTCCTGGAAGATAATTTCTAGGATGATAGTTACATGTTCAGGAAATTGCTGCTTCATTTTTCTTAAACCCCGACCTGGAGCATCTTCTCAGACCATGTGCATGTAACCTTGCTAGTCTTCTTGTTAGACGGGACAGTGTGAGGTGTACAGTGAGGGGCTTGTGACGGCGCCCGAATCCTGGGCGGGCCCTGGCACACATGTGCGCAAGGGGCTGAGGCTGGCCCCCTCTTGTCCTGCCTTTGGGTCACATGGTGCACTGGCTTTTAGCTTCATTCTTTCTTCTGTCAGTGGTTGATCCCTGTTGTTGTCCCCGTACCCGTTGACTGCACAAATGTGTGATGCTCGTCTGCAGCAAGCACCTGCCCCCGGGTGGGACACTACTGCGTCAGCGACGTGTGACCTGAGGTGTGAGGCTGCTGGAACACAGGAGGCTCTGGCCGTGTGCGCTGATAGAATGACACGCTCCCCCCTCCGACCTCCTGCAGCTGATCACCCCTCAGGGTGTGGGCCGTGTCCCCCGCCCTTCTGCTGTCGGTCCTGCGGTGGCCGGGGTCGGATGTTGTTCGCTGGAAGTGGTTATGCTCAAGCACCACCGGTGCCTGGGAGCGGGGACATGCGGTCACTCCGTCTCCTCTGGGAACAGATGCTCACTGGTTTCTACTTTCAGTGCTTTCTTTTTTTTTTTTTTTTTTAAGATTTTATTTATTTGCGAGAGAGAGAATGAGAGACAGAGAGCACGAGAGGGAGGAGGGTCAGAGGGAGAAGCAGACTCCCTGCTGAGCAGGGAACCCGATGCGGGACTCGATCCCAGGACTCCAGGATCATGACCTGAGCCGAAGGCAGTCGCTTAACCAACTGAGCCACCCAGGCGCCCTACTTTCAGTGCTTTCTAAACACCAGGGTGAGCTGTCAGTGGGCTTTATGGCAGCATCGTTGTTGGTTTGGATCAGTGAATTGGGACTTAGAGCATGGCCTTTCAGAAAATCCCATTTAGTGTGACTTCTAAAAAAAATTAATATTCTGTCTTTGAATTGCAAATTAAAGTTTTTTCTTAGGCTTTTTTTCTATCACATTTTCTTATTATAATCATTTTAAGAGGCTTTTAAAAAATTGGCTCATTCATAACATTAATTAAATTCTCTTATATTTTTTAAGTCCTATGCATGAATGCAACATACTTTACTTTCTTTTGAAGTAGTTTACATATCTTAATAAACAGACTCTTCCCAAGTACTTGAAATATATGAATCTAACAAATATAACAGATAAATATGCAAAAATTTTAGCTCCTTTATTTAAACATTCCAATACTTTTACCATGTATCTTAAAATTCTCTAGTATTTTTACATCAGAAATCACATGTGCAGTATTAAATTACTCATTTTAATGGAAACAGAAGGATAATCTGTTATGGACTTCAAATTATTTCATATATTACAGATATTTTAGATAATTAAATCTATCTTGACTATTCCTAAAGTTAACACAGAGGTAGCCCTGGGCTTGATTTACTTTGTCATCCTGGTTCTCGATTCTGAAACGGAGTGACTTAAGACCCCTGCACCCCGGGGTTCTCCTCCCCGAGGTTGCTCATTAGGCGCTAACTTCTGGCCAGAAGGAGAAGTGGTCTCACTTCTGTGGTCCCCGTGGCCAGCAGAACCCAGGCATCTCTGTGCCGTTCTGAACCCACTTTCACTTGTTCGTGTCATTGTGGGCAGCTTTTAAAAAACGTTTCCACCTGATTTGAGCTGGTGGACTTCTCTTTTCCTTCCAAACGCTTGCTTTCTGACCAGATGGCTTTGGGTTGGACCGTGCCTGCCTCTGGTGCCCGTACTCACTGTCTCTGTCTCCTGTGCCCAGTTGTCCCTGTGATCCTGAAGGCGCTGACCTATGAGGAGAAGCGGGGTTCCTGCAGCGTGGGCACCAACGTTAGAGACGCCGCCTGCTACGTGTGCTGGGCCTTTGCGCGTGCCTACGAGCCCCAGGAGCTGCAGCCCTTCGTGGCCGCCATTTCCAGGTAAAGTCTGGCAGAGTTGTGGTGGGGTCAGATGCGCCGCTGGGGTTTTCCCTGGGATCATAGCCTCCTGACAGCACTGTGCACGAGAAGCAGCCAGTGGGGCACTTTTCCCATAAGAAATAGGTATTAGTGAGCTGATGATATAATTTTAAGGGTGATCTATAGAAAAGAAGCAGCTCAAGAGTGGAGTTCCTTTTTTGTGGGTAAGTGTTTAGGAGGAATGTTCTAGAGGCTTTGGCTGGCCTGTGGCTAGCAGATCCTTAGATAAAGGGGATCGGTGTTTTGGATGGTGTGGAAGAAGCACAGGAGGGGAGCTCGTGACTCGATCAGGTCAGCTGTGTTTCTGAGTGTGTATGTGTGTGTTCTATTGAGAGACATTCTGGAACTTCACTGCCATAGCCTTCACCTTGGAAGGAGTTCCTAGGGAAGCCTCAGCAGCACGGCAAGAAGAAGCTGCTTTTATTGAGGGGGCTGCGTTTTGTCCAGCCTTAATTTTCAAATTTTTATGGACTTGCCCTTGACATTCACTTGAGGCAACATTTATTAGCATGCTTCATCGTCAGTGCCTTTGGAACAAAAATCAGCACTCTAGAGGTTGTGAGGTAGGGACAATATATTTTCTCTGGTTTCCTGGTGAAAGAACTAAAACCGGCTGGCGCGTGACCCCACCAGAACCCTGTGTGGACTGCAGCATGCCCGGGCTCCTGAGCGCACGTCCAGGCTCCTTGGCCCTTGGACTTCTGCTGTGTGTGCCTAGCTGAGCCTCCGGAAGGTGTCTCAGCACCTGTGACGTCATGTCCCACTTTCCTGATCTGATGTTTTTTTGCTTGGGAAAAGTGCAAAACAGATGTGTTCCCAGTAGAGTGGATTTTTAAGTTAATTTTTGTACTCTGATTTGTTACTCTGTCTTTGGACTGAAATAAGTTTCTTTGATTTGAAGAATGTCAGGTCTCCACTTCTTGTGGTTTAAGTAGCCGGGGAGGGGCACTGAGCGCGGTGGCAGCCTCTGTGTTAGTCACAGGTGAAATACTTACCTGGCAACTTTTACTAGGAAACGGATTTCAGAATGGTGCTCGGGTCGTGGAAGCTCCTTCCCACAGCTCTTGAGGAGATGCCGCCCTGAGGTTTGTGCGTGAGACCCTGCAGGTCTTAACATCTGCCTCGGGCGTCCCTGGGCGCCCACAGGAGCTGCCAGCCTGCCCAGCAGGCAGCAAGCTCAGAGGTCAGCCAGGGTCTCGGCTCCTGCAGCTCCTCCGTGTGGGTGCAGAGGGATTGGGGACTGGAGCATCACTCTGTTCTCACTGGTGTCCCCTGTCTCCAGGATTTGAGGGCCAGGAAAGGGGCCTCAGGCCTGTTTACCGTCTGTGATGTGCGGCTGGAGCCTCCATCGCTCAATCTTGACTCTCACATCAAAGTGAAGCCTCCAGAGGAGCCTGAGGATTCTGATCCCTGTTGAGGGAGATAAAGTGCTTCCGAGGAAGTCATAAAGAGACCTGGCTCCTCCTAGCCGCGTCCACCTGGGGAAGTGCAGGGCGGAGCAAGAGGGCTGTGGTCTACAGAGATGTTGTCCTGCAGAACAGCTGGCCTGAGGCCAGGAGGCCCAGGGGGCAGAGGGAGGCTGCCTGCACCGGCGTCCCTCACTCGCCCATGCCCGCGGCTGGTGGTGGATCCTCAGGGGGCAGCGAGGGCCAGGCTGCTTGGGGAGACTCTGCCAGCTCCCGGGTCCTGCCTGCGCCTTGTCCCCCACTGGCCACCTGCTGCCCTTGCTCTCCACTGCACTGGAAACTGGCTTGAGGGAAGGCACTGCCTGCTGCTTTCTTGCCCCTCAACTTTTTGGAAGTTCTTCTGTAACTAGAGAATGAAAGCAAAAAACGTACTCATTGTTGACGTTAGTCACGGTCAGTCAACTTGTTTAGGTTGGTACTGTCTCGTGCTGTGAGGTCTGGGTAGGGGCTGTGGTTCTTCCCATTTCATCGAGGACGAGCAAGGGACAGTGCTCAGGACACTTGCCCAGAGTCTCGCAGCAGACAGGTGCTGGGTCAGGCGTGTGCTGGAGGTGGACGCCGAGGCCCAGCTCTGCACGAGGGCGCGGCCTGCCTCTTTGCTAAGTCCCGACAGTCTGCTGGGCAGCAGACACGCATCACTTCAAGGGGATCTGGCTCCTTATGTGGTTGTTCCCATTTCAGAGTGCAAACAATCCTAACACACGTGTTTTTCACTTTAACATTTATCTAAGAGCTGTAAGCTTCACAGGAATCTGTGTCCCTGCTTTCTCCAGGGACCCTCTTTGGTCCAGCCTGATGGGAGAAAGCAGGGCCCAGGGCTAAATGGTTGCCAGAGGAAATGGGACCGGAGTGAGGCTTTTGCTCACCTGGAAAGCAGGAGCTCTCCATGTCCAGAGCCATACAGAAGGATGAGTGGCCATCACGCACACCATTCTGTACTTCAGGGAAAACTTCTTATGGCACCATGGGGTCCCGACCCTAATGTGTGGGCCCAGGGTTCTCGGCCAGGGCTCTGGGCTTTTGGAAGGGAGGCTTTTCTAGCCACAGGCAAGTTTGCTTTATGCAGCTTCAGAGCTTATTGTTGCTACTGGTCTCTGATATTATGAAGCAAAATGTCAACAAATGGGAAGACGTTGATAAATGTTAAGCCTGGCCTTCGCGTGGCATGGGTGTAGAAGTCGGGGGTCAGCCTGAGTCTGTGGGTCCCAGGTATGGGCAGGTCACAGGCCCCTGGACGCTTGGACCAGCCTGCCGGTGGCCTGCACAGTGACCAGTGAGCTCTTTTCTCTGGAGTGTGCTTCCTATACAAAGCCTCTAAATGTTTGGAGGCAGAGGGGCACCAGCATATCTTACTCCAGGGTCACCATCCGTTATTTAGAAAAGGAGAGACAGGCTTGGGGTCCAGTGAGCTGGCTCTGCACCATGAGAGGGTCCCAGTCTCTCGACTCACTTCCTGGTAGGTGACACTTGGCAGAGGGCTTTGAAGGGACCAGTGACTGCACCGGTCAGTCTGCCCGCGTTGGAGTTAGCGTGGCTTTGCAGACTATTTGTTGCAGAGAGGGTGGAGCTGAGCCCCTTCTTTGGGGGTCTCGTTGCGGGGGTCTTGTAGGGCCCCACCATGTGTCTGGGAAGCGCAGCTTCTGTCTGGGGTTGTTGGGAGGGTGTAAAGGTGGGTGTTAAGAACACTGACCTTTCTGAGCTGGGATTCATTTTGAGCGACTCACTGAGCGTGAAGGACCAGAGAGCAGTGACTGTGGCAGGGGCCAGCGTCTGTCCTCAGAAACTCCCTGGGTTCCAGCGTGTCCTTCGATCTCAGAGAGGTTGGGTTCTCTCACTCCCTGGGCACGCCCGAGTAATTGCTGGGATCACACACATGGACACCAGTAGCTAGCAGGGGGGCTGGAGGCTCCTGGTTCATCGCCTTCCTGATTTCTCCTAATTTACCTGGGAGTTTCTGTGAAAAAGGCCCCCTCTTGTCCCCTCTCCCTGTGCCCATCCCAGGATTGGATGGGCCCTTTGGAGCCGCGCCCAGCAGGCTTTTGGGCCAGTTTGGCAGGTTCTGAGGGAACCTGCGCTCCAGCTCTTCCCGTCCATCTGGACTGCGGGCATCCGGGGGCGGGAGGGCGGGCTGGGAGGTGAGTCATGGTGCTGGGGAGCCTGGTGGACGCTGCCGGCGCGCGCCTCCCTGCCCCAGGAGTATCGGTTGGGGTGTGTCCTTCAAGACCTGCCTTCGTCGGATTGTAATAAGTGACCACATTTTAATTGTCAGCTTTTAAACCCATTAATCCTGGCTCATGATAAAACCGAGATATCTTTAATTGTACTTTCACAAACTCTCCAGTGGATCCTGCAAAAGTAGACAGTTGAGATCAGAATGAATTGTGGAAATGAAGTAGGAATGCCTGATGAAAGGACCTGGGGTGGTAGTAACAGTGAGAAGGGGGCCTGGGCTCAGGGCAGGTGCCCAAGGAGAGGGTCAGTCTGTGGCCCTCATCTCCTCGGACGGCCATGAGACAGGCTCACCTCCCGAAGGAACGTGGAGGTTCTCTCCCTCTTGGTGAATATGCACCAACCCTCTCTGTCTTAACAAATATCAGAAAGGCAGTTTTTAGGTAGATTTATTCATGTTTTGAAATGGTCAGTTTAAAAAACCCGTTTTTCTTAAGCATTATACACAGATTAAGAGACCGAGTAATTATTTTGTGGAAAAGTAAATAGGCCTTCCTGAAAAGCCACTTGTAATTTAGGAACAGTGAAACACAAAGTTAAAATGGCCCAAATGGTGTGTTATCCGTAAAATGCCTTCTCACCAGTCATCAGAAGCTAATTTGCAAGAAGAAAAAGAAAAAGGAGCCGGCTGTTGCCCGCATCACCTTCTAGTGATTTCCTCACCTGAAACTCTTTTGTAAGCCCCTGTTGACATCAGCGCCGCCGCCGGGCCCTCCCGCGCCAGCGCCCACTCGGCCTGTGGAGCAGGCCCAGCAAGCAGCTTGCAGCGTGGGCAGGGCCTGGGGATTGAGAGTCCCAGATCTCTTCCTCGAGGGCAAGATTGTTCTGAAAAATCAGGAAATGGCAAGCATTGCTCAAAGCTACGTCTTGTTCTCACTCAGCGTTTCTTAATGGCAGACTTCCAGAGGGAAGATAACCCTTTTGTTCTTCAAGAAAAGTTAAATGGTGGTTAGTGACCAGAGTGCGCTTACTTGTCCGCCTGGTAAACACCACTCAGCCTCCACTGTGGCTCTGCTGGGACATAAAAGTGCCTTAGAAGTTTCTGGTGTTTTACCACCTTGTTAACTGGTGTGAGCTTTGCTTCTATGACTCAGGGAAGGAAGATTGAGTCATGGGCAGGTCCTGCATTTTACTCAAAAAATGATGTGATTTGCACTTTCAAACAGTATGGATGGATAATAAACAATTAGTCTGGTGTTGATCTATAAAGTTCCTCTACTTCAGAATGACAGGATGAGTGTTACTTAGGGTAAAAACAGTGTATTT